CCAACACCATTGTTACCACCACCCATATTAACAGCGCCCATACCAACACCACCACCACCACCACCACAATTGCCGCCACCGCCACCGCCACCACCACCACTACCACCACCACCACTACCACCCCAATTTCCACCTCTTCCAAATCGATTATTACCCATCCCATATCCGTTACCAAATCCACCAGAATTTCCACCAAAATTATTTCCTCTAAAACTTCCCGCAGGTCTACGATATCCACCGTTTCCTCGCATCATTTTCAATGGAGTTGCTTCATCTCTAGTGTAACCAATTGTATGTCCTCTTTGTGATCTACGTGATTGAAATCCGCCGCTACTGATTTGATCTAATTCATATCTACAAGCGTTCATGCCACATAATGACTTAATAACATTTAATACCTACAAATTAGAGAAAAATTATTTCAATTAATTTGTGCGATTAATTTTTCTATAATTAAAACATTCTAATTGTCATAAAGTTTACTAACTTTTTGTTCTACCGGACTCAAATCTAAAATCGTTTCTGGATCTTTAGCGGCTCTTATAACGAGACTTTCCAAAGCAGGTCTTAATGCAACAATATCTGCGGCATGTTGAGGATTCATATCTAAATTAATCCAATTATCTAATTTTACTAAACCATCTACGTATTCTACCTTCCGAGATCCAAATAGTAATAAATGAATGGGCGATACCATAGTCATTTGCTTACAAGATACCGCTCTTGTACGAATCTAAAAATTATTATTGTTATGTTAGGACGTTCAATTTAATGTCATTGAATTTAAATCAATTTACCTTTTCTCCAAATACGAAAAATGGGAATGGAAAATTTTGCTCAAAGTTGCTACAATTAACGGACGTCTTATGAATAAGCGCTGCTTTCGATTCGGTTGTAAGAACTTTGCGTTTTTCTTTGTGATAACAAACATTTGGATATAATCCCATACATAACAAAGCTGTAATTGTATCAAGTTGAATGTCAGCACCTGATTGATAATTTAATACATTTGGACATAGTGTCTCTTCAGGGAAGCCAGCACTTTGTAAAAGAGCTTGTAATTGATTCTGTATAATAAACAAAATGTTAAGTTTATAAATTGATTTAAAAAATTAATATAGTATCACATTTTTTTTTTCATCAACATACTTTTGCTTCCCATGTTACTCTCAATGTAGGTAAACTTAAATTTTTCGAATCACAAAAAGCTTGTTCTGCATATTCACCAGAAGCTCTAACATCTTCCCATGCTTGAAAAGCATGTAACATAGCAACGTGATCACTGTATCTTGCGCCTGCAAACCATTTTTGTTGCGTTGTCAATCGTCTTACGTCAGGAGCCATATTATACACCTCAGGGAATGTGGTACTATTTGCAGCCATCGTGGAAAGTGCATCACCAACTCGAAACATGCATCCCAAAATCATCATTTTTCCTAATCTTGGTTCTATTGGTAAGCGAGCTAAAATCTTGCCGAGAGGCGTCAATTCATCATTTTTGTCCAAACATTTCATTTCTAAAATAAGAAAATACGTATTATTTTACAAAGTAAGAATAAAATGACTCAATGTTTGATTACCTCTTAAGACAACTTCAGCTTCAATTACAGCATCTATGGGTGGTGGTTCGATAGCTTTTGATAAGAATTTACCAATACTACCTAATCTTAATAATTTAATACTTAATGCTAATTCGTGCAAAGGTGTCCTAAACATTTCTGGAGTCATATGTTCATCCATTCTATTATATCTTGCTCTGGAGCAAAGATGAAAACAGAATCCAGGTCTTACACGACCTGCACGTCCCTTACGTTGTTCCAAATTTGTTTTGCTTGCCCATACGGTAGCATAATTAGTCATATTATTATGAGAAGTAAATAATTTCATTTTTGCTTTACAGGAATCTATTACATAAACTACATCGTTAATTGTTATAGAAGTTTCAGCAATATTCGTGGCCAATATTATTTTTGTCACACCGGAAGGAACAGGATCAAATACTTTTCTTTGATCTTCTCTTGGTAATTGCGAATGCAACGGAATAACGATATAACTCATACCACCGAAAATAGGATGTTGTTGCAAGTGTTTCATTAATGCAAATATTAAATTCCAACCAGGTAAGAAAATTAAAACTGCACCAGGAATACCTTGTCCTTTTATATATTGAAGTAATGCTTCTATCAATTCGAAACTTATTTCTTTTTCAGTGAGTTGTGCCATGGCATTTTTCGTTTGAATGGTATAATCAGTGCTAATAACTTTATTTAAATTTTCTTCAGGTTCTCCGTCCGTAGGTAGATCATCCGAATCACGATTCTTACGTTTCTTCAAATCCATAGGTGGAACAAAATTAGTCAATTGTATGCAATCTTCTAAGAAATATTGTTGAACGGGAAACGATCTACCGGGAATTTCAATTACTGGACAATTATTAAAATATTGGCTAAATAAAGTAGTGTCAATGGTAGCTGACATAAGAATAATTCTTAGATCGGGATACATGTGTATCATGTCACGAAGAACAACCATAATAAAGTCTGAATTAACATCTCTTTCGTGAATTTCGTCAACAATTACATGAGACACTCCTCGTAGTCCACCTTCTAATTTTCTTAAAAGTACTCCAACGGTGCAAAACATTATAGCTCCATAGGGCCTAGGTAAGCATGATTCAAAACGTACGGAATATCCAACCGATTGTCCCAAATTTTCGCATCTTTCAGCAGCAACACGATCTGCCACAGATACAGCTGAAATTCGTCTAGGTTGCGTAATAGCAATGCTGCATAATGCACCTTGACCCGAAGCAATATAATCGTCCAAAATGAACTGGCAAACTTGAGTAGTTTTTCCGCAGCCTGTATTTCCACGAATGATAATAACTGGATTATCGTTAATGGCATTCATGATCTCATTTTTCTTTAGAAAGACTGGTAGAGTTGATCTATCTTTTATGCTACTTAGTAATTTAGAATCTTGTTGCAGTCTTTCTCGTTGCTCATGCATTAATTCATCTGATAATCTATCTAAAGTCATCATTGCCATAGGTCCTTCATCAATATTACATCCAGTCCATGGATTCCAATTTTGTTGTGGAGGAGACCAACTGACTACACCTGCTGGTTGTGGTACAGATGATATGAAATCATCTAGAATTTGATTTGTTAATAATGAAACTCCTACGCTTGGTTGAGATTGCGAAGAATGTTGTGTTGGACTTTTTCTTGAATTCTATTATGACAAATAAATGAAATTAGTATAAGTAAATAACGTAATGAAAAATAATCACGTATATTCTCTATACCTCTGTTAGATGAATGTTGACCGGTTGTATTTCCAAATTTCTCAATAGATCATGAATTTGTGATTCTAGTTCTGGAGAAATTTTAACTGGATATGGCTTGATTTGTTCTGCATCTTTATTTTTTTTCAAGGTGCCACTAAATGCTTCTATGACACCAAGGTGATATAATTGTCGAACGATGGACAAGGCACAGCTTTTTGAAGCGGTTTGTTTGTTAGATCCTGTTTCACGGCCGGTAACATCTGAAATTTGTATTATTACGTATATAATGTGAAAACTTCTTTCACATTATTTAATTTAAATGTAAAAGATTATTTTTTTTTATCTACGATATAAAACTTACTTCGTCCAAGTTGTTTCACATAGAATGTCATCTCTGCCATGAAACTCCTTAAAAAGATATTTTTAATATAAAATGTATAATGCATATTAACGTAAAAAGTGTTCTACATATTTTTATCGCAAGCAATAAATTAGAATAAGGTTGTTATGCAAATTATTGAAAACTTACCATTTGAAATTACCCAAGACCACTTTGGAATACGACGGATCACATTTTATGAAGTATTTGCACCAAAACCATTATTGAATCGTTTCAATAAAAGTTTTGGTTATACCATCACCTGCCATCTGTGCACAAGAGAGTATTATATTTTCCTCTTGTACCAGCTTTAGAGATAACTTTAATTATGTAATCCAAAATGGCCTTGATCATGTTCAAATGGTATAAAATACATTATATCCATATATATATATATATATATATTGGGCTGTAATTAAACTTGGATTCTAAGCAGGATTTTGGATATTATCAGAGCACCAGAGGTCCAATCCATACTTGAAACTAAAGGGCTCTGATGGGATGTTTCATACCTCGTATGATCTGGACCCACTGGGGTATATTTATAATCTGCATTAATTTTGTTAGTTTGCATAAACTGATGCAGTTTTGATTTTGCATTTTCTATTGTCCAATTTCCGTGAATCCCAGAATTAACATCAACATCCTCTGCGTCTTCTACTTTCTTTTGATCGGCCAACCTATCTATATATGTATAGTTACTTTGACCATGTTCGTTATATGGTCGATATGCTTGGCCTATATCGTTAGGACCCATTCCATCTTGAAAGACTGATTTTATTGGAGGTAACGGCTCCAACTTGATATCTGGCCCTAATGCCGGTGGCATTATATTCGATGTATCTTTAGGGACATCATTTTGATTGACATGCCCTGCTCGTACTAAATAATTAACATAATCTCTAGCAGCATTTCCTTGAGCATCTTTTTTATTAGTCGAATTGCCTGCACCAACATAATCGAATCCTGGTACACGTAATTCGCACAGAAACCGTTGTCTATGTTTTGGGCCTAAAAAGAAATGTCTGTTAAAATTGCGATTACAGATAAATATGACGGAAAAATGATTTAAAACTTACCTGTTGGTCTTACATCAAATATTGGATCTTTCCCATTTTTTCCACACCATTGGTGAAAAAATGATTTTATATCACCCATTTCCAAATTACTTTTAATATATCCTTACTTTTGTTTATTTCTATTAAAAGTAGATAAAAATGTATTATTGAACTATTAAATTACCAAATAATTCTCCCTTTCCCTCTATTTCCTTGGAAAATTTCGCATCAATAAAATAACATAGAACGTAAAACTTTCTAGGTATGGTATAGTAACTATTAAATATATCATTACTAGACTGCATTAGCGCCATCTTGTGATTTAATGTCATTTTCAAATAATAAGTATTTATTTTTAATTATTTCGATATTTATCATTTATTATCAAATATAAAATAACTAATTTGAATATAAATGTGTCAAGTAAACATTTGGCTGTTTTTTAATATTTAAAAATTTCAAATTTTTGATCAATCAACAAAATATATATGGTAACCCTTGTGTTAAATGATTAGTCAGTTGGTACTCTTGATCACGTCAAACATGTCATTTTGTATGTATTTACATGTGAATTGTGAATTTCAATTAATTAACTATTATCAAATTTAATTATTATGTGTATTTATAAATAAATTTTTATATACAATTGTATGTTATTTAAAAAAGTAATTCAGCAAATGTAATTCAAGAAAGTATTAGTTTATTTAGTAAGGTTATGTTATATGTCATATTTGAATAGTAAAGATAAACTTATTTATTAGTACAAATTGTTTGTTAAAAAATAATAAAATGAACAGCACAAAGGAAAATAATACTACAGATGAAGTACCACAATTTGTTAAAGATGCTGTGCTTGTTCACAGTTCTCCTTTTCCAAGTGGTACACCTACAGTTAAAGGTATGTTATCATATAATTTACATTTTCATAAAAATGCATATGAATAATCTCATAAATATTATATTGTATTTGTATTTTTTTTTAGGTTATGATTGGAACAATGGAATCAATTATCATAACCTGTTAGAATCATATAAAAACTCAGGTTTTCAAGCGACAAACTTTGGATTAGCTGTAAATGAAATTAATCGTATGTTAATTGATAGAAATATACCTCTTAAAGAGGATCAAATTGACAAATTAGAAGAGGATGAATTTATTAAGAGAAAATCATCGTGTACAATATTCTTGGGATATACATCAAACATGGCTTCTTGTGGTGTTAGAGATACTATAAGATTTCTTGTTCAGCATAAAATGGTTGGTCATTGATTATTTGTAATAATTATATGTATTATAATTATATCTTATTAAGATTAATCAATTTATTGTTGTAGGTTGACTGTATAGTTACAACAGCTGGTGGAGTAGAAGAAGATTTCATTAAATGTTTAGCACCAACTTATATTGGTGACTTTCACTTAAATGGAAAAGATCTTAGAGATATTGGAATTAATCGAATAGGGAACCTGTTAGTTCCTAATGACAATTATTGTTTATTTGAAAATTGGGTTACACCTATATTAAATACTATGCTTATCGAACAGAAAGAACAAGTATAAAATGAATTCTTACAATATACTTAATTATATTATTTTACTTTAACTTTAATTAGAATTTATTTGACAGGGTACTTTATGGACACCATCTAAAATAATAACTAGATTAGGAGAAGAAATTAATAACGAAGAATCAATATATTATTGGGCAGCGAAAAATAAAATTCCAGTTTTTAGTCCGGCTTTAACGGATGGTAGTTTAGGTGACATGATGTATTTTCATTCTTTTAAAAATCCAGGATTAGTAGTTGATATACTTTCAGGTAAATGTTGTTCTCTTTTATAAGACAGATAAGATAAGATTTTTTTTTTTTTTTATAAATAATTAATATATTGTTTGTATTATTTATATTTATAGATCTTAGACGATTAAATAGAATGGCTACTAAAGCAATCAAAAGTGGAATGATCATAATTGGTGGTGGTGTCATAAAACATCACATTTGTAATGCAAATTTAATGGTAAATAGGAAAAAAAAATGATTCACAATTAGAATATTATCTAATTATTTTCTATTTTAGAGAAATGGTGCTGACTATGCTGTGTTTTTAAACACATCTTCAGAATTTGATGGTAGCGACAGCGGAGCACGCCCTGACGAGGCGGTCTCTTGGGGTAAAATTCGAAAAGATGCCACCCCAGTAAAAGTAAGAGAATAATCAATCTAATGCAAGAAGAAAAAAAAAATGAAAACAATGATCCATCACATATTTACATTCCCTTTTTCTTTCAGATTTATGCTGAGGCATCTTTGATATTTCCACTGTTAGTCGGTGAAACTTTTGCGAGGAATTATCATTATTCAAAGAAGAAAACTGTTTCAGATGTTTAATAAATAAACGATAACGTTCCCTTCCACCAATGCATATAACGTTAGTTTAGATATTATTATTATTTATTAATACAATTTCATTATTACACGGTTAAGGAATCATTTTTTGAAATAAAATCATGAAATCATATAAAAAGAAAAAAAAAGAAAGTAGATAATAATAATTATTGAAATTACCAAATCAAATTTCTTCTCATTGCCGTTCCTTTATATCCTCTTGCAAAAAAAGAAATTCCAATAATTAGATCGTTTTTTTTTTTTTTTTTAATTGTTTGAATAACGCATATTTTATTTTCTTCATTTATCAATACGACACATTGCAGGTTATATCTTTAAAAACGTATTATTAAATTTCAGAGGAAATAAAAAAAAAAAAACGAGAGGATAGAAGAGGATTCTCGAAGAAGAGACGCCTGCGCGTTGCGAATGTTTCCTGCATGGCAGGTGTCTGAGGCGCAGGTTTACAGGCGCTCGGTAGTAAACCAAAACGGTGGGGGTAACATCATTTGTCAGTTGTTTCCCGTAAGCCCGCGCTCGCGGACGGGCGTGAAACCAACCCCCAACCCCCTCTCATCGAAATCCCCCACAACTTTATGGTTTCTGTTCTCCACGGAATCGCACGTCGAGCGATCGACGAGCCTGAAGGATTGGCGATCCTCGGCTCATCATCATCATCATCATCGTTATCGTCGTCGTCGTCGTCGTCGTCGTCGTCGTCGTTGTCGTTGTTGTCATCGTTGTCAAAGCCGTCCTTCTTCAGGTTCCTCAGTTCCATCGGAATTGTATCGAGCGCGATCGTCGGTATGAACAATGATGGACGTGGAGGAGACCAACACCGCCTCCACTGCGAGTTCCTCACCGAGACCTTCCAGTCCTTCAGCAGATTCCACTTTTATCAGGTGAGAATGTTAACGTTTAATTTTATTTTGAAATATATATATGTATATGTATGTTTGTGTATGCATTTGTATTTTTTTTTTCCAGCTAACTCTACAGGATTATTATTTATAGAATATAATATGATATCATAAAATTTAATTGGATTTTTATCGATGTATATATAATATATCTATGATTGAAATAAGTTGTCATTATTTTGTATAAGTTTTTGTAATAGTATAAGAGAAATAGAGAAGTTATAGATAATTATTACATACGTACACATATTCTATCGATATCTATTAAAGTTTTACTATTGTACGATGAGAGGATGCTGTATGTTAGAAGTAATGATAGCAAATTAGCATCGTTGTACTACTTTATCCCGAAGGTCGAGGAAAGACTCCTAGTCTTTATAGTTGAAAATTTGATTATGTAGCCGATACTCTTCATCATTATTAACGCGAGTGTGATAGACTCGCGAAACTTTGTAACTCTTCTTCCTTGGTTATGCATATACGGCCTTCAAAAGTCACCCCCTTGCCGGGCGGGACGTTGTCGCTCGCGAATAGTCTCAACCTCGTTGTAGAGTCTCTGCCTGTTTGCAAAAGAAAAACGTACCTGCATCGACACATTTAATAATGTAAACTTTAAGAGCATCGTGCCTTACGCTACCACCTTCTCCTACCACGTTTTCCATTCCTACAATTTAAAAATGTAAATCACGAATACGAATTCACCGGAAGTGTCGTTGAAAACGTTTGATTTTTCTTAAGAGAAAGAAATACATATTTTTGTTTATTTTCAAATTTATAAATAAATCTACCAAAAGTATCGTCTCTGATTTTTATTTAAATTTATATATATATATTTGTTGTTGTTGTTGTTGTTATATAATTAAAGTATTACTTGATCAAAGTTAGATATTTTTAGAAATGAAAGAGGCTTTTCGTAATAAAGGGTAATCAAATTTATTAAACTTTCGAAGGTCTTTTTTGTTAAATGAACGACTTCACTTTATCAGTAGAAAAGGATAATACTAGAAAGTGAAATATTTATCAATTTTCCATTTTAGTGTTGATTTAATCAAAAATGAAGCCGTTTCGTTCTATAGAATGGATATATCAGAGTTATTTGTAGGTTGCACGATGTATCGATTTATTTCTTTCTCTTTATAGCGTATTACTCTTTTTATACATTGATTTCGAAAATATATTCAACGAGATCGATCCTTGCAATTTTTCAATTATAACATATCTTTTTCATTTAAAATTCATTAAACTTCATTACCGTTAGCGATATTATTAAACAAATGGAATATGCGGTAAATAAATTTAAATGAACGTTAAGTAAGTAAGTAAGTAAGTAAAAAAAAAAAAAAGGAGAAAAAAAATGGCCAAGCGCTTTTCAGAACCTGTAAGAAAGTACTTGGAGTGATTGGACCTTTAGACGTGGATATTTTCGGTCGACCCAATTCGTTCCATCTATTCGATGGTAATAATTATCGATGGTACTCGGAATAGCGCGGACGATTCGCAAAGTAATCGATGTGTTCTACCTTTTCCTTGATTGTAGAAAAATGGTCCTATCATTTATATCCGATATTTTATCTTATTAGTGAGAAAAATCATATTAAATATTGAATTAATAATAAATCCCATACTCCTTCTCCTCATCCTTTTCCTCCTCCTCCTCCTCCTCATATTTATTATTTCAACAATTTTGTTTATTCGTTCGGAGGAAAAAAGAGAGAAAAAAAAAAAAGAAACAACTTTGATCAAAATGCAATGCGTTTATTATTTATTCGTTAAATTACACGCTTGAATATTATTTATAGAAATCGTCGTGGAGATAGATGATAAACAACAAGAAGAAGAGTTAAGAGTAAAGTAAATAAAAAAAAAAAAAGAAACGTATTTCTTTTTTCCCCCTTATGAAAACGTAGTTAGCATTTAAACGTTAAATCTCAACGATGAAAAA